AATCAAGATAAATTTCATCACCATAGTTACCCATGTAGTTTAGACAAGTAATCATTAAAAAATGAACAAATGCAGCTAAGTACTAGGGAATTCTAAATACACTGCCAACCAATTGGTCTGATCATGCAAGGTGATCAGTATAGCATATGCCTCAACTTTCATATTCAGACTTTCTTAAAATGGAAACTTCTCTCCTTAATCATCTTATAGCTAATTAATTGCTTCCCTCGCTTGGCAGCTTGCATAATATTTTCTGCTACCATTGAAACTAGACTGAAGAATGGAGGCTTTCAGGTTAGATCCAGCTGGAATATCTAAGTACTGGGTCTCAAGAGTGTGGTGTGTTCACCAATAGGAGCTTACCTTCAACACCTGAGAGGCAACTAAAGGTTACATCACTAGTCTATACTGTTTTGGGAGTCACTTGGACTACTCTGAGCAACCATTCTAATGGAGGCTTCTTGTACTTGGGATTTGTGTTAGTCCCACAAATGATTATTATGGGGAGCACTGCCAGCCAAGAGGCATAACTTCCTATATAAATGTATATTTATATAGGAAGTTATGCCTCATATGTATATGTATACATGCATATTCATACACTTTGTATACAATTTGGGGGTAATTATAAAATAATGATTCCTTAAGGCTTTACTAAAACAGCCATGGTATTATTTGTCCCTTGTCCCTCCTTCTACTGTCATATTGACCTTTCTTCCCCAACCCCAGTGAATCCCCTCCTCTGTTTATATATTTCTCATGTAAAATCACTTGCATACAGCACTCATCAAAGCACCTTCTCTTTACAGCCAATGGAGACTACCACAGACAGTCACAACTTGACACAATTCAGATATAAACTAACCAAGGGAAACCAGGCCCCACCAGATCCATCTGTATCACATCCTCTGCAACTGTGGCTCAGGGAACAACAGAAAAAGGGAGCATAAAGACTGAAAGAACCAGAATTCCAGGAAGTCCACTGTGAAACAGGCTCTCCTAGAAATGGCTACAGAGCAATAGTAATATCGTCAGTGGACATGTTAACATGGAAGGAGAAAAAGTTCTCAGAGTCCCGCCCCCTAAACAAACCAGTGCTACAGGCAAGCAGTGACTGCTGGTAGAGGGAGAATTAGCCTTTCCAAGGATGACCTCCCTTATTGTTATTCCACACAAAGTAGTCAGCCCTGAAACCATACGTAAACAACAAAACAGATCCAGCTGGCAGTATTTATGTATTTGTGTATACATACATGTGAAACACTGAGAATCAGAGAAACAGGAGGCTATGGTTTTGAGGGCAAGAACAAGGGAGGTACTGGACAGAGAAAAGGAGAAAGTGATAGGATTCTATTTTAATTAAAATGTATAAGTAAATGAGGATTTTTAAAAGTAAAACTAACAAAGCCATTGCTGCACTGAGGCCTGGGTAAGCCAAAGCTTCTGGCCCTCAGAGGCAGAACAGCCTATAGCTCAACCTTTAACCCTGGAGATAGAGCTTCCTATACTTAATTTAGATTTGAAATGTTCATATGCACACATCCTTTGAGATCATTTTAATTTTACCTGATTGTAAGGAGTTAGAAAAGTGAAGAGAACATATGATTACAGTAGTAAGAGCTGTACCCAGCATGCAGTTTTGCATTTTACATAGTGTACTGTTATTTGTTTTTTAGAGGGAATCCGGCTATGCTACTTCCCATGTATTATTTTTTAGTAGTGAAGTTCAAGGTAGTTGGAACCAAAGCTAATCATAGTAAGCCCAGTTTCACTATCTCTTCTCAACTACGAATCTACTTTTAGCCCCAGTTTGATGATATGATGAGACCCTTGTCTAAGCAGAATTACCTACTCCTGGATCCATGCTTGAAGACATATCCATCCACAGCATCTGACAGTATGGTCTATTGACCAGAAGTATTTTAACCATTAATGCTAGAATGGATGTTCTTAGCTAGCCAAGAGGGAACACACACACATGGACACACAAACCAAACACACACACACACACACACACATATACACACACGGGTGGAACGATAATAATAAAAAGAAGTTATCAACTTGAAAGTGGGTGGTTATATGGGAGGGGTGCAAGGAAGAAATCTTGAAGGGGCTGGAGGGAGAAAAGGGAGAGGAAAGTGATGTAATTCTATTTCAACCAGAAACTTTTTAAAAAGACAACAACTATTGGCATACATCTTGCACAAAGCTGGTACCACCCATCAGTCAAACTCCCATTCACTCAATGAAGTGAAGTGACCCTGTCTTTGAATGGGTCAAATTGGGATACACTGGAGCACTCCAGAAGGAGCAATACTCCAGTGATTCATAGCAAAAGTTCTGGAGAATGGCCAAGTTTAAAAGCAAGTCTCCAAATTCAAGCCATTAGCAATCTACATTATTTCACTACTATATCTAAGCATATAGGTTTAAAAGGATAGAGTTGGGTGATATTGGCATATGCCTTTAATCCTAGCACTTGGAAGGCCGAGGCAGGTAGATCTCTGAGTTCTAGGCCAGCCTGATCTACAGAGTGAATGCCAGGACAGCCAAGGCTACACAGAGAAACTCTGTCTTGAAGAGACAAAAAAGAAAAAAACTCTGCAAATCACCTGTAAGACTAATACTCAAAGAGCTAGCTTTCTTACATACGGACACACTGGGTCCACATTGTTATAGCACACACACCTTTGATAATGGTCACCATCACCACTTCATTTCAAGGCAAAAAGTTAACGTAGGTAGTTTTAGATATAACTAGCTAAGGGATCAATTTTAGACATAATTAGCTACAGGGCTCAACCCATTGGTCTTCCATTCTTACCCACAGCATATCTGTACATTCACATTCTAAAGGAGGAGATTGGGCATTAACCTGATCTAGCTAGACATTTTCCATTTTCCATTCCTCTTTTCTCTCCGCAAACATTTATGTGATGAATGTAGCAAATAGGCATATTACAGTCAGCTTTGCTATAATACTTGTTTTGACAAAGAGATTTTTTTCAGCATGATTGATGCATTAGGGACTATGCTGAGCATATGTGGAATTGGCATTTATTTATGTGCAATTCTCTCCTAGAATCTCTAGGTGAATTACACTAAACAAAACAAAACACATCAGAGAAACTGAATATGTAGGAGCACAGAAACACACAGCTCCCATCTTAGGACATAATGTTCTACACGTGGTAACACCAGTGACCCTTCAGCTTCTGCCTGCTCTCAGGTTGCCTTCCTTTCATTTCACATGGGGGCCTTCTTGCACACTTTTCTTTCTGCTTAGCTCTCTGTTTGTTTTGTACTTTCCCTCAGTGTTGCTGTTCTGTTTTATCCTTTCGGTTTTAGCATTTATCATTTTCTTCCATGTAGAGTGTGAGAGTAAATGGGGATATTTGTGTTTGCAAGAGAAATAATTATAACTTGGGTTCTTTCCAAAGTAAAGAACCACCTTATTAGAATTTTGATACATTCATCTCTTTAACGCATCCAGAACTAGGCTACCATTTAATGACATGTGCAGCATGGCCAATGACATTTGTGCATGCTATGGATGTCAAGTCTGTCCTTTCTCTATGTTTGGGATTCTACCAAGTGCTGTTGGTTTCTTGGGAATGCCTATGCTACATGACAGCAGAACAGGGTGTGGAGAGGTACTAGCAGTATATTGTTTTTTGTTTTAAAGATTATTTTAGAGAGATTTTAAATTCAAAGCAAACACTGAAGGACAGATATTTCTCATATCTCCCCCCTAGTAACACAAGAGTACATCCCTAAATATTAAATGATTCAAGTCATTTCACATTGGCTTGTAATTGGGCTAAAAAAAAATATAATCAGCTCATGTTGCCTAAAATTCTTACAGCTTATGTGACGTTCATGGAACATTATAATCTAGGCAATAAAGATCACGTCTGAAAGAAGTCTATGAGCTATAACTTAGTTTCCTTCTCTTTTTGTTTGGAAGGAAGCTCTAGTAAAATCTACTTATGTCAATTTATGCATTACTGTTTTCACCAGAGACCCTATTTGTCATATTCATTTGATTGTTGATATTAACAAATGGCATATTTCTACAGTTTCTCATTGAAAGGTCTTTGTAGATGAAGAAAGCAATAGAAAGTTTTCCTGGGTCATCTGGTTTTATCCAAGCTTTTTGACTTATCCAAATGCTACCTAAGAAAATCTCCTGCAAAAAAAAATAGTGAATTGCAATATCACCCTATATATGGCCAAAGCAGTCCTCTTTGCATTTCTGTGGCCCCATGTCAAACATGTTAAGAAAAAGTCACATGACATTTTCTAAATTTTAACATTTTTCTCAGGAAAGCTTTGAAGTATGGGAAGGAAGAGATCTAATGTGGTTTAGTGACCAAGAATATCTGGTGATGATCTTTGTAGGTGGGAAAAATCATTGCCACTTACCCACTGAATGATAAAGATTCTGCAATCCAATGGATCTTCATTTTCATTTTTATTAACTAAAAACTACCATACTATGTGGGGAGAGACATTGGGCCTCTTCATTAGGAAGTGGGATAGGAAAGAGAATGCAGCCCAATGCCTGGCAATAATGCTTTGAATATGTGCCCTGGTATAAAACCCAATCTGTGACCAAAACTCCAATGTCCAAACATATATGTTGGATTTAACAGTAAGTGAAACTTTGGGAATTACTCTTGTTTTGTTCCCTCTCCCCCCTCCCCCAGCACACTTATCTCTAAAATGTGTTATGGACTAATTATTTCAGGAGGTAACACCTTTACACTTCCATCTCTAAGATTTGGAGATGCTGAGCTATCCCCCAGGGCTCTGCCAGCAGCCACTTTTTCCTATATAGACAATTCTAGTTTCTTATTTAGAAACTTCAGTAAAAAGATACCTGTTTCTCCTGTTGTGATCTAAAGACCCATTTGTTACCAAGAGTTTTGAAGAGATGACTTCCCTCAGCATAAGCAGAGAGCAGAGCCACATGCCAGCCCTCCTCTGAATCTTACTTGTTCTCATTGCTTGCATCATAACGAGGCATCGGGTCCAAGTCATTCCCATTCACATCACAACTTGCCAGAGCATCCTGTGACCATGAAGAAGAGAGGGGAAACAGACTGTAGTTAGAGGTATCTCGAAAGCTCCTGCTTCCTTAAATGCATTTCTGCAAGAGAGTAATTAGGTTAATGAATATACTCATGGTTCACTAATGTCAGACACCTTAGGAAGAGACTGCTGGTTCAATAATAATCATTGCTGTATTATCCCTTTAAGGTGATATAGTCTGTATAGACCAAATGATTTTCCACTTCTTACCCAGAGTGACCCAGTTTATGAGATACTTATCTTACAGAGATGCCCTGAATTTCACATTTTCTAAGCACTTTCCTAATATCTAGAAGCAGTAATATATATACATATATATGTATATCAATCCTGAGCTTGCAGTAATCTTTATCATGTTTTAGTGAATTTTTTTTAGAAAAAAAACCCAATTCTCGCATAAGTGACAAGCCAGCTAAGACATTAGATGTTTATTCTATCAGCTTTCCTGGGATCTGTATTACACAGCATTAGTCTTGTCTCAGGCACAATATCTATTCCATAAAAGCCTTCAAGTCAGACTCCTACTATTATCCTACAGCTCTGAGAACAGCCCAAATGATGAGCAAAGCTAACCTAAGGTTTAAAATGAGAAAACAGAACCTCTGAAGCCAAAGTTGGATTTATTTGTTTGCTTTCAAAAATGGTTAGGAAAAAAGTTCCAGAATACTCCAGAGAACTCACAGGGTCACTTCTACAGTTTAATTTTTTATTCCTGCACTTTGCCCATTCCAGAATATTATTAATTCCCCATGCTTCATGATTGCCTCTATGCCCAATGTTAATAAAAGCCAATATTATCTTTGCTTCCAGCCTTTACTGAATTCTTATGTTTCTGAAAATACAGTTTAGTCTGCAGAGTTTGAAATGTTTTGTAGAATTTAGCACCATACATGGTACATATAATGGTATTAGGTTTGGCTTTCTGCACACAGGCGCCCTGCTCCTCTTACTGGGTGTCAGAGCTAGAAGTACTTTGGAATGAGTGACTCAAATATACCTTAACAGTTTTACTCACAGGAAACAGAGGCATCAAATAGACTGCTCTGTAGTCTGCATATGAAACAAATCAGACAGAAGTTCAAGTCTTTGGTCTGAATAATAAAGAATGTTTTTCCTGGCAACCAAGTAAGAATTGGGATAGCAGCTTCATTAATAACTGAACAGGTAATCCTACATAATGTTCTTTCAGAATGAAAACATAACAGAGGCAAAAAATGCCATCATAATTAGGTAGACATGAATTTCACTTACTGAAGCCCAGTCTGCAGCAGGTAGAAGCATACACAGAGAGCCCTCCTGGCATGTGACAAGACAGATGTCCTTTCTACAACTATAGTTCTGATCTCCTATTTCACCCAGAATAACTGACTTCAATCTCCAGACTTTCGCTACTTCACCTATATCTGAAGTGAGTGAGGCTTTAAGTTCTATGCTGCAAAGAGGCATGCATTCATCTGAGTGTACTCAGCCACAGGGTGAGGTTAACCACTGACTCCCATTCAAAACAGAGCTAAAGGAATCTTCAGTTTCACCTCTAGGATGGATGGATATATAGTACCAGGAGGCAAACAAGAAGTGAGCCTCTTTGCAATGGACAGAGACCATTACAGAAAGCTACAACCAATCAAAGTGCAGAAGTGTGGAGCCTGGTCTCAGTGAGTATATCTACAAAATGACGTCTATACTTTGGGCTCAGGAAACATTCAGGCAGTACTGGGGCAGAGGAGGAAGAAATATTGTAAGAACCAGAGGATCAGAGAGTTGATCAGGATTACTGTGAGACTGTCTCCTAGTAATGTGAGAAGCTACATGCATAAACTCTCATTAACATAGCTGCATAAGCAGGAGCTGAACAAGGACAACAATAGATACACCAAAGTAGACTGGGTAAGTCCATAGGCCTTCACTCTACACAAAGAACTACAGGCTTTAAGGAATGCTATCAGCTACAGAAATAGTTTTCCTTAAGGAAGAACACACCAATTACTTATCTAATACTAAATCCTCAGCACTGAAAGCATACTTATGAATGACATTATACAGACTGAGAAAGTTGTATTTGTAATTTTAGAGATATATGTATATACATATACATGTATATATGTAACAACAATCAGTGAAAAAGAGGTCATGACTTTGAAAGAGAGCAGGGAGGGTTACATGGGAAGTTTGCAGAAGGAAAGGGAAAGGGTAAGTAATGTAATTATATTATAATCTCAATTTTTTTAAAAAATAGATTTTTTAAAAAAAAAACATAGGGAAGAAAAAAAATGGAAGAATAACTGAAGAAAAGTTTTCAGTCTGAACTTTTCTACAAAAGACTGTATGCTGCCTGGCAGAATTATTGAGAAGAGTGGAAGTGGTTGATAACAGATGGTGTTGGTGGAAGGGTTTCTAATACCTAATGGCTCTCCTTTTGAAGGCCATCCCATCAAAGGCATGGGAAATCAGAGAGAAAAATGTTATTTCATGATCCTTGTGCCAAAAGAGCTCACCTTTCACACACAAAAAAACAAAAAACAAAAAACAAAACCTCACAGAGCCTGCCATATCTCCCACCACATTTGCCAGCAGCTTTCCCACGCCTGGACCATCCCAACAGGAGTTCTCTGCTTCCAAGGAGGGAGGACTGTGGACCACAGCAAACACTCACATAGTTTTGCATCAGATCGGGGTGGGTTCTCTCGATGCCATCATCCAGGATAGTCACTACGATGTTCTTCCCCGTGTAGCCTCTCTTCCAGGCTCCTTCGATATTCATGTCTGACTGGCAAGGATGTGTGTTGTCACTGCAGTGCTAAAGAACGAGAGGGCCATTGCAGATTACTGAATAGTGAGCAGATAGGAGAATTACACACTTATGAGGACAGTATTGAATAAAGAATAATTTGGTCTGCTGCCTGCTAGAAAGGAAACATTCATTCCCAGAGCAGTAACCAAGAAGATACAAAGAGAGGTATATAGGGATGGAGGATACTGGGCACTAGTATAAATACCATAGATAGGTTTTAAAAATCCAGCATGTCAACAGAATAAGGGTTAATTTATTGTCACCGTACACTAACAGACTATAAATAACAACTGCTGAATTTCATTATCTACCTTAAGAGGGTAACTGAAAAATATATACTCTCTTCTGCCTTGGCCAGGCACCTAGTAGCCAATCCAGCTACAACTGGGACTGACTCAAGCTCCACTGTACAGCTAGCTGGAGGTATGTTCCTGTGAGAAATGCACAACAGGTTCTCTAAATGCTTTTCACTAAATTAACAGGATAGACAGATTCATTCAGTGCTGCTTTGAGAAGGGGAACCAAGCCAAGGCATGTACTCTACCTAGTAAACTGTATACAGAATCTTCAAGGGGCAGACTGAAAACATAACATCCTGGCTCATTGTGTGCAGAAATTTTGTTCTGCAAGAGCTACAGTGTCCAAACACACTGGAAAAGGAGCCAGCAGCTTTTTCTGATATAATTTACTAATGTTGGTTCAACCCATATAATTGTTCCTTTCAAGTCTATCTCTTTGAAATACTCTGGAGGGTTGCTGTTTCCTAGGTTCTTACGACTCAGAATAAGCACAAGGGAAGGGACATGGGACTCTATAATGTCATAGCAACATCAACTCTTGCTCGCCATTCACCACTCACTAAATTCCTCCTGCCTCTCAGCGAATAGCCCCACACATAGGAAATGGAAATGAATGCCAAGATTTCTTTCCTTATGTCTCAAACATAACGAAGACCCCACTAGCACTGATGGATTTAACACACATTGTATTGAGCACCTACTGCAGGCTCAATATGGTTGCAAACAAAATGCCTTAGGTATTCAGCCCAGAGGAGGGCCACAGAAAACAGAAAAATGAAGAAACAAGACATCTGAGAGTGTTCACTGTATTTTAAAGGGATCGAGAGAAGGATGGAGGGATAGAGAGATGGGGGAATGAAGGAAAAAGGGAGGGAGAGGGAGAGAGAGAGAGAAAGAAAAAGAGAGAGAGAGTCTCGGTGCTTTGGTGGTGAATGTTGAGTGTACTGCTTTAGGGACACAGTCAGAAGGAGATTTCAGTCCCTGAGAAAGTAAAAGTTGTGTGGTGGTCATGTGACTGTTGAGGATTTACTGTTAGTAAGAGCACAGAGACTAGCATCCTGTTCAGTTCCACAAATGCTAGGACTCTGATGTGGGGAAGGGTTTGGAGAGAAAAGGTAGAGACTACTCGTCAGAATGACACAGAGGATATCAAGCCAAAAGAAGAAGAAGAAGGAGGAGGAGGAGGAGGAAGAGGAAGAGGAGGAGGAAGAGGAAGAGGAGGAGGAAGAGGAGGAGGAGGAGAAAGAAGAAGAAGGAGGAGGAGGAGGAGGAGGAGGAAGAGGAGGAGGAGGAGAAGGAGAAAAAGAAGTAGTTGCCACCACTCTGGGCCCTGAGCATACAGTGTTTACCCTGCTCTACTGACCCAAGTACCAGTATCTTTCCTCCCTCCAGTTTCCTGAGCACATTTCTGGACCCACACAGCTTCCTTCCTAGGACCTTAGAGACACAGGCATGCAGATGCACATACACACTTGTTCTGTCTTCTCCAACTCATGCTCACTGGCTTTTGTTGGGTTGTACTGCTCACAGCTGAGTCTTGTACATTTGTCTCCCCGACTGACTGATGAACTGAAGTCTAACCTAAGATTTCATAAACACTGCTTAATCAATAGACTCACAATCAAACAGTATCCTCAACTTTATTTCTAGTTAAAAGTAGAATTATGCATCCTGCTTTGATCTCTTCAGCCATGCCTGGCCAGTTACTAGTTTTGCTAAAAGAAATGACGTGAAAAGAAGTGTTGCAGACTGACAAATACCCATCTTTCCAATTGTCCCCTTCTGGTCAAGCATGTGAGCCTCTCCTCATCAAATATTCCAACTTAACACAAAGCAATGTTAACAAGTTTCCATTTTATTTTTTTCCCCTAACCTGCTGTGAGCACCTGTAGTATGCATCATGACTGGGAATAATGTTAATGCAGCTGAGAGGTGGGCTGAAGGAAGGAAACGGACAGGATACGGGCAAGCCACAAATGGAATAAGCATCCTGGAGCGGATGGACACAGCCTGAAGTTGTAATTAAGAAAGCTGAAGAACATCAGCCGTCAATGGAAAACATGTGTGGTGGAGTGAGCAGCGGTCCTTTGAAATGTTCCAACCTCTGCTTCTGCCTAGTCTGACTTGGATCATTTAAAAAAATCTGGTACTACATTTCGTATCTGTTATATCCACCACTGCAGATCACTGATGGTAGTTGGTAGCTGTGCAACTGATAGATCCATCTTGACATGGCCTATAGCCCACATACCAAAGACGAAATGATATCAATAACAAAACATCTGATGAGATGAATGAGTTAACAGAAGCCTACACTGTTTCACTGTCTCTGGCAGACGTCAGGGGCCACTTGCAGAGTCTACTGTGAATGAGATTCAGAAGCCTGAGACCTCAAAAGAACCATTAATTTTTAATATATTTAAGTGTTCTAAGTTTCCAGATGCGTTACTGACATAATTGTCTTATACCTGAGATAGTCAGAGCAAAGAGGATAGAAATTAATGATGTCACCCAGCAATGAAATGAGAATAGCCTCATCAGTTCCTAAGATCCCGATAAAAGTGGTCTTTGTACTGGCTTAGATCTCCTTGCTAGAAATCCATGTTAAAGTAGCATTCATGGATGAAATCACACATACTGGTCATAGTTCACATATTTGTAGTCAATCCCATTGAGATCTCTGTTATGGGAAAAGCCTTGTATACAGAATGGTGTCAATGTACATGTGCTCATGGGATGGAGCTCACCAAGGGGCCAATGGTAACTTGGGCATATTAGAACTGGAGAAATCACATGTGTGCACAGCTTAAATATTTACAGTTACATCTGTATTTTCACTCTGAATAATGCTATTCCATTGGTGTCCAGGCATGCCTGACTAAGTTCCTAGAAACAACAATGAGCATATGAAATGGAAATATACAACATATGCCTGGGTTACTCTAGATAAGTATACCACTTTCTTACCCAAACAAGCTCTTGTGTCCTCAAAAATATATTGCAGGGTGTGCACAATGGACAAACAGTTTATATCCCTTTAAGTTACCCAAATATACATTTGTTATTCCTTCATCATCATTTATTCAGGAAAATGGGAGGGGAAACATATTCATTTTAAAATTCTCTAAATTGTGAGAGTTTCTGTGATGGTTTGAATAAGAATGGCCCCTATAGGCTCATACATTTGAATGCTTTGTCATCAGGGAATGGCACAATTTGAGGAAGATTAGGAGGTGTGGTTTTGTTGAAGGAGGTTTGT